GTGTCTCACTGGGGGGTGTGTGTGAGGGGTGCGCGGTACCGTGTCTCACTGGGGGGTGTGTGTGAGGGTGTGCGCGGTACCGTGTCTCGTGTGTGTGTGAGGGGTGTGCGCACACGCTTGTGTTGTCGGTCCCCTCGGGCGAGGGGTGTGTGTGCGCGCGGTACCATGTCTCGGGGCTGTGTGTGAGGGGTGCGCAGCTGTGGTGCGGTTCCCTTCAGGTGTGAGTGGTGTGTCCGTGGTACTGTGTGCGCGGTACTTTGTGTGCAGTACCCTCAGATGCGTGAGGGGTGTGTGCGTGCGACTCTGTTCCTGAGGTGTGTGTGAGGGGGTGTGTGTGGTACTGTTTCTCTCAGGTGTGTGTGTGAGGGGCTGTGGAGCTGTGATGGGGTGTGTGGATGTGGGATACTGTTTCAGGTGTTTGAGTGTCCATGTGGTAGTGTTTCAGTTGTGTCTTTTTCCCTTGTGTGTGTGTGGGGTGGGGAACATATATGGGCATATGGCAGCATTGCTTTCAGGTGTGTGCAAAGGGTGTTAGTGGGGTGTGTGTAGTTTCTCCCTCTAGGTTGTGGGCTGTGTGGGTGCAGTGTGGCAAGAGGATGCACATGGTGTGAGTGGATGTGTTTGCCTGTGTGTGTATTTTGGGGTGTGTGTAGGGACAAGTGTTTGGTGATCGGCTGTAGGAGTTTCAGGTAGTGGCTAGAGCACGTGTGGATGGGGATATGTGGATAGGAGTGTTTGGCTACAGGTGATGACGTGTCTCTGGAGGGCTGTGGGGGTGAGCATGGAGGTGTATGTGCCTGGCAGGTGTTGGCGTAGGGTGTGTGCGTTTGCTTGTACATGTGCGCAAAACTTGTGGATGGCTGTTCATCTGTGTGGTTGTTTGTGTAGACAAATTTGTGTGGGGGGCTGAAGTGTGTGTGTGTGTGCAAGAAACCTGTGATTTCCCCCAAGTTCTCCCCACTCTGCACATGGGGGGGCACCGCCTTGTTGAAGCGGTCCCTGTCCCTGTGTAACTTTCCTGTGTTTGGGGCTGCTCTGTGTGTTTGGCATCACCTGGTCCCAACAACTGCTTGCATGCTTAGTGTAAAAACACCTAATGGGGTCAGGGAAAATACTGTGGGGGCTTCTTTATTTTTAAAGAAAAAAAGTCTTGATTTTTGTCCCTACCCCAGAAAACCCAAGTCAATAAAAGAAGTGGTAGAATTACACTGTGGTTGTGGATGATGCAGGCTAATTCACTGTTTTCTCTGTATTTTCATTTAGCTGCCTAGTAATACTCTAAAAGCAAAAATTACTCGTTTGTTTTCCTCATTGGATTGTCTCAATTCAGAATAGCTGACCCCTTAAACTTTCTTGAAATTACATATCTCTCTGCATTCAGCACCTGACCAAAAACTTCAAATCTACATCTAAGAATTCCCTTTTATTAAAAACTCAGATTTGGTCCTGGTGGTTGCTGGATTGAGAAACTAATTACTATACTCAGTCTATTTTTAGTTACTTAAATAGTTATTTAATATACTAGACAGCATCTGCATATTTAAGAAATAACATATATGTATACTATTCTGTTGCATTATATCAAATATACAGATATGAAAATACTGTTAGCCAACTTGCAAAGCTATTTCCATGGAGTAATTCACACTTTAAAGAATATTTGCTATTATCCAGGTATTAAAAATGGAGGGGAAAAAGGTGACTGCTGAAATTATTTCAGTGATGAAAGTAGTTTTAGGTGCAATTGTGGCTGTTAAGCTGTCAGGTCTGTCACATAAATCCTTAATCACCTGCATAACTTCTACCCAGTGGATGAGGAGAAGGTTGTTACAACATCAGGCATTTAATGGGAGATGAGTTGCTGCTATGAATCAGCATGATTTTGTAGCGTGTTTTCACAGAATTTAAAGAAACCTTTTCCGCTTGCCAAGATAAAGTTGTACAGTCATATGAGCAGTGAGATGTCTCGTGGCTGTTGTATTCTGCTGTTATACCCCAGTTATACTGTAAAATAGCTTGGGAGGACCTCTGCAGGCTGTTAAATCCCAAGCCTGAAGCAGACCTCGTGGTCAGGGCAAAGCTGTGTTGCCTGCGGCTGTTTTTCCTGCAGCTGCTACAGTTTGACCATTCATGGCCTCCTACAAGCACATGCCTGTGAGCTCTGCTTCCTGCCCCAGGACACTCCTGTTAGCTGTAATAATTTAAAAGTGAAGCATGTGTCTTGAGTGTTTGCAGGACAAACACATCATTCAAACAGCTTAATAGTTTTACCATCAGAAATAACTTAGTGCTGGGATTAACAAGTCCCTAACATGTACACAATTGTATTTGGATACTTGGATGTTTTTGTGGCACCCAGTGACCAGCTGTGACCGGTCATTTCACCTGGGTAGGCAGGTCCCATTGTGGGAAGGATCCTTTTGGGCTGTTTCTGCTGCTTTACTCCAATGTACTTTTTTGCAACATGTTGTAGCATGGCTGACCTTGATGTCAGCTGAAGCAAGCTGGACCTGGTACTCGATGTCCCCAGGGTACAGTGTGGTCTGGGCACGGGGTGTTTGCTGGGAGATGTGGAGACCTCCTCGGTTGCCCCTTGATGATTCCTGCTCTGTGCTTGCAGGTCTGGAGCTGTCTCACTGCGTAGGCGCTGGCTCGCTGGGACCTCCTGTGCCTTGGAGGTCTGGGGGGCCCTGTAAGATGAAAAGGGTCCGCACAGTGTTCAAACCAGAGCAGCTGGAGCGGCTGGAGCAAGAGTTCCTCAAGCAGCAGTACATGGTGGGCACAGAGCGAGTAGACCTGGCTGCAACTCTGCATCTCACAGAGACTCAGGTAAGGAGCAAGGGGGGTTGGTGGAGGTGTAAGATCCAGGATCTGGACTCAGCCTGTGATGATTCCTCCTCCATGGAGAGTGGCTGGAGGAGGATGTGATGCTGAGTGACCTGGGGAACACTACTGCAGGATAACTTTGAAACCACATGCTTGAAGAGTCTTGGTAGGATCCAAGCAGGATATTCAGCTGTGGGGGGAAAAGCAAAGTAGATCAGGGGGATGGCACTGATCATGCTTACTATGCTCTGAGAATCAAAGGGGCATGTCCCTTCTATAAGGAACTCTGCCTTCTGGGGACATACCTTAAAGCAAACAGCAGTGCCCACCATTAGAAATGGGGACCTGGACTTGCTGCCCAACTGGGGGACTTTGTATGTGCCATGGCCTGGACATGGTGTCCTGGGAGGCTCACTCTGCTGTTGTGCCATTTTCCTGCTAGGTGAAAGTCTGGTTCCAGAACCGGAGAATCAAATGGCGGAAGCAGAGTATGGAGCAGAAGAAGGCAAAGCTGACCCAGTTTGGAGTGATTCAGCCTGCCACTGCAGACTCAACAGACATCAAGGACCACGAGGAGGACACTGTGGATGTTGAGCTTTGAACAGCTGCCATGCTGCTGCTGTTTCAGAGCAAAAACTGTAAAGTTTCAGCTGTGTCTGCTTGATGGTGATACTGGGGATGCAGACATATCTGTGCTGCTTTGGTCCAAGCTGGACTTAAAGCTCTTCTCTGAGAGTTGGAGCTGTAGGACTAAACTGCTGTTGACTGGGAGGAAATGTCCAAACTTAGAGAGGCCCCTGTCTCCTAGCTGTGTGCTGCAATTCCTGAGGCTTAAACACTAGGCTGGGACTTCTGCCTCATGGTGCCCTGGTTGTGGCACAACAGCTGATCTTGTTTGTTCACTATTGATGTGCCAGGAAGCACAAACCATTTGAGCAGAGAGGCCAGGGTGACAATTAGATGGTGTCCCTGACTATTGTAAGGGCATTTGAACACAATGTCACTTACTTTGAATGTGACTGTGCTCCCAGGAGAGACCTATGCTGGGGAAATAGTTTTCTTCAGGTCAGTTTGATGCCCCTGTTTAATGCTTAGATCACAACAAATTGGGAAGTTCTTGCTTCTACCCACAAACTCTTGTCATGACATTCTCAGTGAGATGAGCTGGGCCTGAGCAAACACAAGTGAGCTGCAGGGCATGCCACTGCCAGGACATGGGAGCTTTATCCCAGGTTGTGCTCCTACCTTTCCTATGCTCTTGACTGGATTTTAGCCTGATGTAATTCCATACTGGGTCCCCAAGTGGCTGCAGAATGGGAACAAAGTAGCCCTAGGTCTCCCCAAGAGCTGTGGGTGCTCACAGCCTGCAGCAGAAGTGCCTTCTCCTGTCCTGTGCACTGCTTGGTGTACTCTTGCCTTTGTTTTATCTTCCCAAACCCCCATGATAGAGCCCAGGCTGTCCCTCTGCCTTCTTGCATTGCCTTACGTTGCTGAGATTGTATGCTGCTACTGCAGGGACTTGGGTAACTGAGGCGTGGGGAGGAGGGCTTTTATGAAAAGGCAGCTTTCAAACACTTCTGATGCTTCAGACAACCTCCTGTCCTCAATCCAGGTATGAGTTCTGGGTGCTCTCCTCATTTTACACCACGGTGCCATGGGAAGCAGCACTGGGAGCTTTTGGCTAGCACATGTGCAACTGCACCATGTGATTAATAGCTGTGGTTTTACTGGGTGGAAGGGCTTTGAGGGGTCAGAACCGAGTATCAGACTCTCCCTGATACGTTTTAGTAATTCTTGGGGGCTGGAGTCCACAGCAGAAGCTAAGTGCTCTTAAGTGAGGCTGTCAGCACGCAGGCTGTCACCTCGTCTTCCAAGGTTTACCAAGCATGATGTCACATGAGCTCAGGATAATTTATTGTGTCTCTTTCTGACTTGGAACACTGTATATCACTTTACTCTTATATTGTTATTTATAGAAATAACTTTTTTTTTCTTGACAGGTGTCATTTATTTATTTCCTTTATTTCTGTATTAATAAAAATCTAGTTTTAAAAAGAAAAAAAAAGTGATGTGCCTGACTGGGGAGAAGTAAGTTTCTGCATCTCTTTGGTTTCTGAGCAGTGTCTGGGTGGCTTCTCCTGGGACTGACACCAAAGAGCCTTGGTGAAATGTGGGATCTGGGACTTGGTGCATGGCTCTCTGGGGTGGATTATCTATGCTTTTTGCTGGATTTTGCTCTTGCTTTGGCTTTTGTGCCTCAGGCTTTGAGGTGGGTCCCGCATCCTTGTCCCCGAGGGATGCTCCTATGGTCAATCATGGGCCGAGCCTGCTAGCCTCGGTGTCCCACAAGCCGACAGTGACATCTAGCGACTCCCAAAGCCCCCGGCTCTATCTGTGTGAAAACTAGGCATTTTCCCCCCCAGTTCCCCACACTGGTGCCAACTGCCTGTTGCACCTGCAAGGTCTCATCCTGAATTAATGTCGATAAATGTGCCTTCCTTCCCTCCTCACTTTAGGGGCCTTTGTGGGATGCCCTAGTGCTGAAGGCACATCTCCCTGTACCTCCTGCAAAGGTGCAAACCACCCCTGCCCCCCTTCCCTGAGTAAGCTACTTTTTGGATACTGCAACCCAATCCCCCATAGTGGGGAGGTTGAAAATTGAAAAATAAAGGATTTTTCACAGCGGGGAGGCAATGAAGTGCTGGGTGTGTGGCGGCAGCCCCATTTCGGGGCAACGGGGAGGGGGGGGTCCCTAAGATGGCGGTCGCCCTTCGCCTGCCCTGGGGTCCCCGTGGTCCTTTTTTGAGGAGGGCGGCCGCCGCGGGGGACGCGGGCGGCGGCCCGGGCAGCCGGGCCGGGGCGGCGGCCGAGGCGCGTTTCATCAGCAGCGCCAAGGTGAGGCCCCCGCGCCCCGTCTCCTTCCTGCCCGCGCCCCTCGGCCCCCTTGGGGAAATTATCCCCCCATTCCCCCCGGGAAATAGCTCGGGAGCCGCTGGGGCTGGGTGGAAGGAGTCGCCTTGCAGCGTGTTCTCCCCGTCACCACAGGCTGGGGAGCCGAGGAGCGATCTGAGGGGGCCTCCCTGGGTGTCTTTTGGGTGTCGGGTCACCGTTTTATTTTCCCTTTTCCCCGTTTCCCTCACTGCTCTTCATTCTCCCGCTCCCCTTTCTTCTTCCTCCTGCTGACGGCCCCATCTCCGCTCGCAGGGGAAAGGCCTGTTCGCCACCAGGAGCATCCGCAAAGGGGACACCATCTTCGTGGAGCGGCCCGTGGTGGCCTCGCAGTTCCTCTGGAATGCCCTGTACAACTATAGGGGTGAGCGGGGGCCACCAACAGCCAGGGGTGATTTGGGGGAAATAAATGCAAGAGTGGGAGGTCTTGATACGAGCTGGGTCTTCTGCTAACTGCACATTGCTCCCTGCTGAGCTGCATCACACGGGAGCCAAATGAGGACGTTTTCCTTGTGCATCATATGGCCGTTAAGCATTTCCCAGCATTATAAAGACAGCAGATGAGGACTGAGGGCAGGAATTTTGAATTACAGCAGAAATGAGGGAAGAAACAGAGGGAAAGGTAGGAGGTGGTGACCCCGGATCAGAGGTGCTGGGCTCTTCTGCCCATCCCGGCAGTGCCGGGTTATCCTGGGCCTCTTCGCTCGTGCAGGCTGCCCTCTCACCGCGCTGTCCGGTTGTGTTTTCCTCCACAGCCTGTGATCACTGCCTGCGGGCCTTGGAGACGGCTCAGGAAAATGCCCAGCGGCTGCTGGGAAGGAGCTCCCAGGTGCTGCCTCACCCGGAGCAGTGCAGCATCCGGAAGGACCTGCACCAGCAGTGTCCCCAGTGCCAGGTATGGAGCTGCCGGGAAGGAGCACGATCTGACTGGGGCTGCTAGATCCTTTATAGCATTGAGGCAAACACTTAGTCCAGCTTTCTGCCCCTAACGCTGCATGAGTTAATTCCTACAGGCTTCACTCAGCTCCTTGGCAGAGTTTTCATCTCCTAGGGCCCAGGGAGGGGTTTGCCATGGTGTAAAATCGGTGTCTGCTCTTCACCTCTCCCTCTTGCTAAAGAGCCTGGGCTCTTTAGGGGCAGGCTGGGCATGGTCTGTGGCCTGGCACCCGCTTCTCCTGCTGCCGCGGCTGACGGCAGGTGCTGTGCCCCTCACTCTAGGTGACGTACTGCAGTGCTGAGTGCAGGCAGTCCGCGTGGGAGCAGTACCACCAGGTGCTCTGCCTCGGCCCAGCCCGCGAGGACCCCGCACACCCCCTCAACAAGCTGCAGGAGGCATGGAGGTAGGGGATCAGTCTGCCTGCTGCTCTAGGGCACCAAGAGGTGGCTTTCCTGGCCTGGGTGATGACATTGGTTGGGGACAGTCCTGGCTTCCCATCCCTGCATGAGGTGACTGGTGGGACCTGGCGACTGTGACATTGGCTGGGGACAGTCCAGGCTTCCCATCCCTGTGTGAGGTGGCTGGTGGGACTTGGTGGCTGAGAGACACTGCTCCGCTCCGAATCCATGGGCTCCCTGCTGCTTGGCAGGGTCCCTGGCTTGGGGCTGAGCAATTCCCGACGCTCCAAGGAGCGCATCCCTCGCTCCTGCTGTTTCTCCGTGTGCCTGCCCCTCTCCAACCTCCTCGACATCTGCCTCGTAGCACCCCTGCAGGTACCCAGAACTACCCCTACTTGCAGAGGACAAGATGGGCACAGAGAGGAGAAACGACACCCCTGACCCCAAAATGGTCACAAATCCCAGCTCTCGCTGCACTGCTGGGCTTTGTGTGGGATCAGGACTCTCCCCCAGGCCATGTTTTAGCAGGATGCCTGGGGACTAACAGCATGTTTGGTGACAGCAGGCAGGCCAAGGCTTCTTTTCCTTGCCCTGAGCAACCTCGGGTCCCTATGTGGTGATGCTGGGCTGGCTGCTTTGGTGCAACAGGCTGTTTTGGCCTCCCTCCAGCCTTCTCTTTCCGTACCAACACTGATCTGCCCGTCTGTCTTCTTCCCTCTTATCCCTGCAGAAACATGCATTACCCACCGGAAACTTCCAGCATCATGCTGATGGCACGGATGGTGGCCACCGTCAAACAGGTATGTCTGTGATTTGGAGCCAGGGTGTGGTTTTCTCTTTCCGTTGTGCCTGTTCCCAAGACCGATCTTTCCTGTAGCACTTGGCAAAGCAGGATCCTGCTCTAAGAGGCTGCAACATTGAGTGATCCTTGGTCTTGGGTACAGCAGGCGGCAGAGAAGGCTCCTGTGTCCTGAGCCAAGCAGGACTTTCTTTCCTTACCAGATAAACATACATTTTTTTTCAGAAACAAGCCTTTCCTTTGGCTCTTCTGCCTAGCTTCACTCTGAGTTAATTACCACTGTGTGGATGCTTCTGTTGTGCCTTCATAGCGGGTTGGCACCTGTGAGCATAGTGGGGCTTGTCCCTGTCCCCGTCTGGCCAGGAAGGTGGTGTTAGTGCAGAGCATCTGCTTGACATCCCTTTCAGGCCAAGGACAAGGACTGGTGGATCAAGGTCTTCTCCCAGTTCTGCAATAAGACAGCAAACGAGGAGGAGGAGATTGTGCACAAGTTGCTGGGGGACAAATTTAAGGTAAGAGCAGTGCTTGGACATGCTGAGTCCTGGGAATACCTGAATGGCAGGTCTCTCAGCCCGCACGTGCCAGCCCGTGGTTGTGGAGGCCCTGTTTCTCCAGGGATGGGAGCAGGTTCTCTGAGTGGGGTTTGTGGCCCCACATACAGCGGGCCCCAGCACCCAGGGGTGCAGCAATGAGCACACTGTGTTGGCCCTGCTGCAAGCTAAGCGTGTGCTGGGCTGGGAGATGCTGGAAACCCCAAAGTGGGGTCTCCAGCCCCAGGAGGGACCCTGACTGAGCTGGCAGGAGTCCCTCCTGCCGAGGCAGGGGGGGGTCACTTAGCAGGCTTTGGGAGGCTACAGAAGATCAAGCTGGTAGTTTCTGTGACAGAGATGCTTCTGATTGGGAGTGGAACAGGATGATATTTTGCTGCCGAATGGGTGGATTTTGCTAACAAAATGGGTCAGTTTTGCTGCTTTGAAGGCAGCAGCCTCCAGCCTTGCCATAAAGGCTGAGGACCCTGAGTCCTGAAGCTCCTGCTGGGCCCTGAGCATGACTCAGAGCAGCATCTTCCCCCCTGACGCAGTTGCCTCTCCCACCAGGGCCAGCTGGAGCTGCTGCGAGTGCTCTTCACAGAAGCCCTTTACGATGAGCATCTCAGCAGGGTGAGTGGGTGACTGCCTGCACAGCTCAGGAGAGTGGTGGGACCCTCCGTTGGGCACCAGCCCCTCTGGGGCACGTCTACACCACGCTCTCCTGAGAGCCCACGACCCCCAGAGCTCCCCGAGGGATTCGAGGTGCGCGTTTGTGCAAGGGGGCCTTCCTCAGTGTGCGCTGAGGGATTCAAAGTGCGGGCACAGGGGACTGCTCCAATGGCAGGCAGGGATCCCTTCGCAGGGAGACCCAGTGCTCACAGTATCAGGGCTGGTCTCACCCGTGTGTGAGCATCTCCCTCCTGAAAATCATGGTAGAGCTTAAAATCAGAGCTACAGATCCTGCTTCTCCATTTCCCCCAATGGATCTCGCTGTAGATGTCTCCAGAGGAGCTGGGCGCCTGCAGGAGCCTTTCTGCCCCGTCTGTGTGGGCCTGGGGCTGTTGGGGCGGTGTGGCTGCAGCTCACTGCACTGCCCTCTCCCTCCACAGTGGTTCACTCCCGAAGGCTTCCAGTCCCTCTTTGCCCTCGTCGGGACGAACGGCCAAGGCATCGGAACGAGGTAAGGGGGCTCGTGGGGCGGCCAGGACGGCTGTCCCCTTGCGCTGGGCCATGGCTCAGAGGGCCCCTCTGCCTCCCTGCCAGCTCCCTGAGCCAGTGGGTGCACGCGTGCGACGCGCTGGAGCTCCCCGGGGCGCAGCGCGAGCAGCTCGACACCTTCATCGACCAGCTCTACAAGGACATCGAGAAGGGTGAGGGTCTGCAGGACCCTGGCGGGTTCTGCCCCTGCGGACTCTGCTCTGAGATTCCCACTGGGGATCAGGAGATCCCTCCCTCCCCCGTGTACATGAGCCACGTGTCTGTGAACTGCGTGGTCCAGGTGTCCTGTGGCAGACTGGGGTTGCAGAGGGATCCCGGGCAGAGATTCTAGCTTACAGCAGTGCCAAAGACCCTTTTTTACCATTTTTGGCTTGACTTAGGTTCGCCCCTTGGAGCTGCTGGTGCAGCTGGGTGAGGGACAGGGGAGCATCGGCTTGAATGGGAGGTGCAGCTCTCCATGTCCTCATGCCCCTCGGCGGCGAAGGAAGGGGCTTGGAAACCACCCTGCAGTCCCTAAAGCAAGTGCTAGTGGGACATGCATGTGTGTTCAGCATTGGCAGATGTCCCCCCGTGTGCCCCTCACTGAGCTGCATGTGTGGAGTGGCCCTCGCAGGCTCTTAACATCCTCTCTGTGCTGCAGAGTCAGGAGAGTTCCTCAACTGCGAGGGATCGGGTCTCTACGTGCTCCAGAGCTGCTGTAAGTGACACAGGGACTGGCAGGAAAACTATTAGGGGGAAAGGGGTTGTCCAGTCCTGGACTCTCTTGCATTTCCCTGAACGCTTCTGGGTGGGAAAGGATGGAATCACAGAATCCCAGAATGGTTGAGGTTGGCAGGGACCTCTAGAGATCATGCAGTCCAACCTCCTGCTCCAGCAGGGACACCCAGAGCACGGGGCACAGGGCGGCATCCAGGTTGGGTTTAGGATCTCCAGAGAAGGAGACTCCACAGCCTCTCTGGGCAGCCTGTGCCAGGGTGGGATGGGACAGGATGGATGGATGGATGCTGTCCTAGGTCCTGGCTGTCCTCTCAGGGTCTCCCGGGATCTTTCCCCCTTCTGAGCTGGTCAGTCCTGGCTTGAACAGATGCTGGAGGCTCCAGGAGCCGCGTGGGCCGTTAGCAGAGAGCCCTTCTGTGGCCTTGTTAAGAGTGCAGTGGAGCTGGGGCAACCGCTCACATGAGGGGAGCCAGCTGCCTTGGCCGGGCCATGAGCCACCCAGAGCCACCTTCTTCCCTCCCAAGCATCCGTAGCAGAGCAGGGATGAGCAGGGCCACCAGCAGTGCCTGCTGGATTAGGCAGCCCGGTGCACGGCCCAGGAGCAGCCCTGCTCGTCATGCTGGGGGCTCTGGCCTCCCCCTGCCCCTTTTCTGGAGCCCTCCTCGCAGCTGAGCGCTGTCTCCTGCAGGTAACCACAGCTGCATCCCCAATGCCGAGACCTCCTTCCCGGACAACAACTTCCTGCTGCATCTCACAGCACTGGAGGACATCGAGGCCGGAGAGGTGAGGCCTGGCCTCCCACCTCTGCACAGGAGGCTCCTGGGGGAGGCTGCTCCCAAGGGCCACCGGGGTCTGCGGGACCCACTTGCAGCCAGGCCCCTTGCTCTTTACCCCTTAGGAAATCTGCATCAGTTACCTGGACTGCTGCCAGAGGGATCGGAGCAGACACAGCCGCCACAAGATACTCAGGTGAGGGCTGCTCAGAGGGGACATGGTGCCCGCGGTGGCACCAGGGCTCCTGAGGAATAAGGAGCCTTGGGGTCCACGCTAGGCTTGACCGCGGGGGTCTCGTCTCCTCTGATCCCATCTCTTGCCCAACCCCATTGCTCCTTCCCCCTCTCCCGTCACCTCTTCCAGGGAGAACTACTTGTTCACCTGCTCGTGTCCCAAGTGCCTGGCGCAAGCCGACGATGCCGACGTGACGTCAGATGAGGAGGAGGAGGGCGAAGGCGAGACGGACGATGCCGAGCTGGAGGACGAGATGACCGACGTGTGATCCCGCGCCCCGGAGAAGGAGAAAGGCAGGGAAAGGGGGATTCCTCTGCGACGCAGCAGCTTTCCTGCTCGGACCAGGGTCGTGCAGGCGGCTTGGGAGGCAGGTCCTGCTCCCGCCTGTCCCTGTCGTGTGCTCTGTGTGTGCGAGGCCGTCCCTGTCCTCCCCACGAGCGTGTGTGTGTGTGTGTTTGCGCACGAGGTTACTATTTAATGTCTATATTAGCACTATGTACACACTAAGGAGCCCAGGCCCTTATATATCCACTCCATTCCCTGCCCTGGCTTGGCGTGCAGCAGGGGCTGAAGCGACCGCGCCGTGGGGACAGGGACACAGCTGGGGTGGCTCCAGGAGGGAGCGGAACAGCTGGGATGTCCCTCCCGCCGTGTCCCCGCGCGCCCTGCGCACGCACAGGAGCAGCCCCGGGACCTCTGGGCGCTGCGTGGGAGC